TACATAAAACCTTTCCACTCAATAAAGAGTACTCTGTCCAAAAAAACAAGAGTGGGGGAATTTTCTTAGGTTCTTTAAGAGCATTCAGCAACTTGTAATTCACTTTCATTAAGTTGATGAAGAAATGGATCTGTCTTGCCCTCACTTCCTCAATAGATACTCACCAATTCTTTCATTTGAAGGCATCCATTCCGTACATTTCCTCCATTTTAAAGCTTCTTGCACTCTTTCAGTTGATCCCACGACGCCATCCATTACAAGTGGGTATTGTCCTGTGGACCGTTTTATGGTCGCAAGCCGGGCCCATACTCTTTTGAATTCCATTAAATACATAAGTTTCAACTTTTTTCTTCTCACCATTCTCATATACTAGTTCTTGAAAACAAAATGAGAATGTCAATGTCTATTTGCAAACAAACAAGTCATTTGCTGCACATTCCGACTAGTGGGATCGATTTGAAAGACTTATGTCGTTGGCCGCAGAAGGAGAAGGTGGTAGTGGTGATGGGAGCAACCGGGACGGGAAAATCCCGGCTGTCCATCGACCTGGCCACACGTTTCCCAGCCGAGATAGTGAATTCAGACAAAATGCAGGTTTACGAAGGATTAGACATAGTCACAAACAAAATCACCAAGGAAGAGCGTTGTGGGGTACCCCACCATCTTCTGGGTGTAGTTGATCCAAATAAGGATGTTTCTGCTACAACTTTTTGTACCATGGCTTCTCTTGCCGTGAACTCTATAGTTCGCCGTGGACAGCTTCCAATCATTGTTGGAGGGTCGAATTCCTTCATCGAGGCATTGATCGATGATGAAGAACATGAATTTCGATCCAAATATGAATGTTGTTTTCTTTGGGTGGATGTATCTATGCCCGTGTTGAACTCATTTGTGTCACATCGCGTTGATAGGATGGTGGAAAGGGGAATGATAAATGAGGTAAGAAACATGTTCAATGAAAATGCAGACTATTCAAGAGGGATCAGAAGGGCAATTGGAGTTCCTGAATTTCATCATTTTTTCCGGGGTGAATCATTAATCTCAGACGAAGAAACCCGTGCTAGACTACTCGAAGAGGCAATAAATGCGATCAAAATCAATACAAGAAAATTAGCACATCGCCAGCGGAAAAAAATATCCCGTTTGAAAAAACTTAAGGGGTGGAAGATACACCAGCTTGATGCCACCGACGCTTTTAGGAATCGGGGCAGAGAATCCGACGAAGCGTGGGAGAATCTGGTGGCGGGGCCGAGTACTGAAATAGTTAGTCAATTCTTGTACAATTTTCACCCTCTGGTTTACAGTAATCTCATGGGAATGAGAGCAGTAAAAGCAGCTGCAACTCACACATAATCTGCATAAGTTTCTCAAATAATGGAGACCTGATGCTGAGGTTGAGCCAAATTGAGTCTTAATACAGTTTTGGAACCTTTCGTCATTGGATTTTTTTCTTTGGATATGCTTTTGATTTGTAGCAGGGACAAAGCTTTTCTGATATGCACTGGATTTCAAGAATTGTTAAGCTTATGTTTTAACCTGCCAGCCAGACCTCTATAAAATTAGTTTTCCTACATTAATTTTTGCTAGTTTGAGATGGGGTAGAATTTACAAGTCTAAATTAACTCGCTATCGGCTACATAAATGCTTTTTCACCACTCCCTGCGTTTAATCCAGAAGTCGACAGAAAGGAATAGTTATGCTATTCACACCAAAAAAAGTTTGAGGACACAAAGAATGATCAGCCAATGATGTCCCTCGCCACCACCAAGAACAGTATTACGAGCACTGTTAATATTTGTAGTGGTGACTGATATTATAAACTTCTTGAAATCATCACAATAGTATTATGTCCCAATCATAGTACTGTAACACTGCAGATTAACAGACTATGGATATCGATAACTTTTCGTATGCTTATTGCACCATAATTAGAGGATTATACAATTATTTCATACTGTTTTCTAAGATCGGGCAGAAGATGCGAATTTATGAAAATGAAAAATGCGGCGAATGGAAGTTTAGAGATAACTGAGAGCATAGAAATTGTGTGCTTTAAAACACCAGGGATAGATTTGAAGGATTAATACTCTTCTAAAGATGAAATAAAGTCTGCTAACCAATCGCTTTCTTGATTCTTGATAGTTTAGTCACTATCATCAAGAAAAATTATCTTTTATTCTACTGTCAAAGTAAATTGAGACTTTTCCTCGATAAATTTAAGGCCAACTAATGTGTGGTTGAAATGAATTTTAAATAATCTGACTTAATTTTATCTTATATTAACAATTACAATTAATTTTGAAGATCCAAAAATGTGCATGTTTGACTTTGAACTAATTGTTCTTTGTTCAAAAAATCTACATTGTTAGGAGTATGACTCAAATAAGAGTCTTTTGAATAGGCGTATTCGACTTGAACTAGGAGAATATTAACTTAGGGTTTAAAGAAACTAAGTTGAATAAGGAAACAAAATCCTATTAAAATTGGGTCTCCTAATTGTAATATATTTTCTTGCCTTTTAGGACTCTTCTAGGATTGACCTATAAATACGAGGCTTCTTTGGTCAGTTTGTAGAGAGAGTAACATAAAAGTAGTATTGCTAGTTTGTCTTGTATTCTCCATAC